CGCGGCCGCAGCCGCGGCGTCTTACCGGCCACATCCGGTCGCGGCCGCGTCCCGCGCCGCTGCGCTCACCTATTCCATGAGCGATCTGCTCGGTGTTCAGGGCCTCGACATGGGCGCCGTTTACCATCCAATACCTACGATCGGCCTATGACCAACGATACTCACACCCCTTTCGCGACCGCAATAATTGTAGCTCGTCCGGGGGTGTCAGACTTACGTCCGATTATTGTTTCGTTTAATTTTAATCGATCAGTCATTCTTCTTTTCTATATTGCTTATCTCGATTTTTCGAGTGATTTTTTTAGATTTCGTTATAGCATATCGTCGTGAGTTTTACAATTTGTATGTGCCGAGGACAACATAATAATACAATTTTTAATCGTAAACGCAATAGTCTTTCTCAGTCTTGCTTAAAAATAATATTTTGATACGTGCCAAAAAACTTGTTATTTCGGATAGATCGATTTAGATTGCATGAATTATAAAGTTTGAAACTCAGTGAATTAAGTACGCTCATATAAAAGAAATATATATACGTATATTTTATTGGATCTATTTAAGATTTAATTGGCCGAAAACGTCAATGTACTTTTTATGATTTTTATTTATTATCTATTGTAAGATTTTAGGAATCTTGATGAGGAAAAAATTAGTCTCTCGTAATAAATGTATAATTTTTTAATGAAATATTACAGTGGATTAAACAACACTCTATACATTCCTTAATTGAGAGTTCTTCGTTTTGAAGTAGTCAACGAAAAAAATCGAAAGTATTAATTAATATATGTCAATCAGTGATCAAACGATCGAGCGTGATAGGTATCAATTTCAAAAAGTGCAATATTGTAGATTTAGTAAAACCGTATCTTATTTATCGGTTCGAAATACATATCGAGAACGCGATATTTCCGCGGAGCTGTTCGCGGTTGGCAATGTTCGGCGAAACTGTGATCGTAGAAGCAGAAGAAAACGCGTAGCGAATTGCAGATTTAATCGACGTAGTAGTTACCTATGGGGCCTCATTTTCTCGTAGTGAAGAAAGTAGACATGTAGCAACGAGACAAATGGATCGCAAAAGACTGGTAGTTATTTCGTAGATAATTAGTAACGCAGATAGTAGGACAATAAACAAAGTGTTCAAATGTAGAGGGAAAACGACCTAACGATGCTCAAGTAAATCGCCGTCGCGTCGAACGTATCTCTTTATAGGATTGTCTTTCGATTTTTAAATTTACTATGTTTAATTAATGAAATATAAAGTAAAAGTCTTAAAAAATTTTTTGCTTCTCAATGAAACGTTATTAAGTTAAAAAAAATTTAACTTTAAAATTTATATGGATCTTGTGATCTTTCAGAAGAATAATAGGATTATCTTTCGATTTATACATTTATAATTGGTTTAATAAAACATAAAACAGAAATCTTAAGAAGTTTTTGCTTTTCAATAAAACATTATTAAATTAAAAAATAAAATTTTTGTGTTTCTCTTCGATCTTTCAAAAGAAATAGTATCAGTTTATTTTGACGTTTTCTTAAAATACATTTTTTTATGAGTTACACAATCATTTCTATAATATTTTGAAATTGAAAAATCGGAGATGTATTGAGAATTGAGAAGTTAATAATAATTAAAGTTGTCTAACATTGTCAGATCAGTATAATTATTAAAGTATCTATTGAAAATGAATATAATTATATAAAAACATCTTCTTTTACATATTAATGAAGATAGGCAGGGTGAACGAACAGTAACTACACAAGTCGTGTCTAACTAAATCTCAATCATCTACCGACGTCGAATAATTAAGTTTTCGGTGTCCATCACACTTGCCGTTAAAAGCACTTCGATTAAAACGCCGTAGAAATTAACACCGACATCGAGCCTTCAACGAAGGAGGAATGAGAGAACAGGAAATCGAAAGACAAGGTGAGCAGCAATTTTCAGGTCACCCCGATGCGATGGGGAAACAAAACGACAAGTCCTCGATGGAGATTGTATGTTCGTCGTTCGGCGGCTGTCAATTCGTTGATAGAACCTAGTTGAAATTTTAGCGCGTTGCGAACAAAGCTCTAACGTAGAAATTGTCGTCTGCGAGGTTACGCGACAAGAGATCGGGTAATACAATTGAAAGTCGCGATAGAGGATATGGGAAAACGGTCGCGTTTCGTGGCGTATTTTCGAACGTCTTTAAAAACGGCAGAATATTTTTTCGGAACGAAATAATCGTTTGTTTTAACAATGAACGCGCTCTTTGTCGAGGCCGTTTTAATTACGAATATTTTATAAAAAAAAATTGAAATAATATACAAAAGAAAAACATCCTTTCTCCCCCTTCCCACAGATAGTGGTTCGCTGCGTGTACTCCTCGCGAGTACGCGAGCGATAATTGAAGAAAATCAATTAGCGGCGCATACCGACGCAAATTGTCGGCGATGCGGCGAGAGAGCGGTTAGCGCGAAGGGAGCCCGCAGGAAATGGTTGGCGACACGTGCACTTCTCATTTGTCGCGTCTTCCGGAATATTTTTCGCAAGTGACTTCATGAAATTTCATAATGTCGAAGCAAGAAAGAACTCTGTGTTCTAGACGATATAAAGATACTCAAAAGGAAAGACACAAGCTCGACACTATTTATATGTATATAAATGCATACGTGAATCTATATACATATACATATATACGTATAATATATTTATATTCTATACTTATATGGAGTGTCCCAAAACTAACGGTAATGTCTCGGTAATAATTGATATTAAGAATCAAATCAGAGAGAAAAACTTGAATAATTTTGAGAAAATAAGAAATCCTAAAATATATAAATTGATGAAAACATGGTGTGAATTTTAAGTATGAGTAGAAAATTATTATTCGGGGCTTAATTATCATTTTACATACATTAGAATTCAAAATACTATTGTACAACAGTAAACGTTACGACAAACAGCAGTCTCACACAATCAAGTTGTTGTAAAAAAATATAAATATCAAATAATACATATATTAGTGGTTTTCGGACGCTCCGTATTGATATGTACCTAACGATCCATTATAGATTATGCCAGACGATACATACGTTATATATTGTTTTGTATCTTACCTATTTGGTAACGCCATAGCATTTGATATTAATATCGATATATTTTGTGAGAGCCGCATTACACCTTATAGTTTTTTGTAATAGACCAAACAGATATACATATCGGAGCCTATATATCTATCTATCTCTACATATCTAGGTAATTAGGTAAACATTTGTGTTGTTACCATACCTTAGACATTATTGAGACTAGGCGTTCTAGGTTCGATTAGTTAGAGAGCGAATCAGTTTTAAACGAATTAATATACTATGTACACGTTCCTATCGTTGAGATTACTAGTGGACTATAGCTTTTGGGAAGTCACTATGATATCGTTAGCTTAGATTATACTTTAGGCGTTCGTCTTCGCGGAAGATCGCGCACTCGCGTCCGTTCGTCGACGAAGAATTGTTCACAGGGAAGGCATTTGGCCTCCGTCGTAACATTCCCACTCATGTTTCCTTCCGCAAAATAATTCGCGAGAGAAGCGAGATAAAGCGCAGTGCTCAAACGTCTTCCGCGAAGAATACGCATTACCAGCGGCTTCAAAGAGACCTATTATATTGTACCTATTACTTAACGAGCTACATTACATAGTTACATTTATATTACGTTACACGTAATATTATACCTCTCTCTCTATATATATATATATATAGGATATATACTAAATATATATCGTGCGTATACCTGTCTATACCTAATACCTCAGCTTCCGTATATCCCACTCATATACTACTCGTTACATAGTACTTAACTCTTCTTAAGCCGCATAGCATCATTTACCTTGATAATAATGCGTGAGACGTGTGTCCTAGAAAATACGTACTTAGCCAGAGAGGCGCAACACTGTCAGTTTCGTAAGTAGACCAGACTTTGATAGTGCGGTTTTATTATTGGTCTTTGTGACAGTTGGCTGGGCCAGTTGATTTTGGGTTTTACGGGAATATAGAGTATCCGCTGATGTCTTACATAATTTATAACGGGGGCGCAGAACGATTCGACGGAATGCATTCCTGATACACGGCCTCGCGAATGTTTCTCCTCGTCCGAGACGGGACACGCACATCAAAGGGGAAACATAAAATTCTAGTGAGAGTAGCTCAATGAATTCCACGTTGCCGAAGCCATCGATGTGACGTAAACGTTAATCGACCGGCAACTCGATCGTAAACTCGAGCTGAGACAGGCTTTATGCGCTCCTCGGAACTGCGAGAGACTGTTAATATTAATACGTCGTACGTAAACGTCTGCTCTACGTGAGATCGATATGTTGCATCTGAGAAAGTTAAGGTGTGTACGTATTAGATGTTATATAGAAAAGCACGCGCGTAATTCGCGCAAGAATTATTTACATAGTATCGTCGAGATCTATTCACGTATTTCGATGAAGTGACAAAGATACATATCTATGTATATAATGCTGCAAATGATTCTATTGAGATAAATGTGAGATAGTGCTCGACGTACATGCAATCTTATTGTAGCTCAGAAGAGTTTAGAAAGCCATTAAGAGACAGAGAAAAAGAGTGCAAAATGATAGTAAAATACCATTGAGCGCTTGACGTAATCAAAACCAGCCCGGTAGAGAGACTTTAGGTACGAAATTACTAATACTATTAATATGTATCAGTGTATTTTAATGGCTAGAATAAACGCTCTTATACTTCTTTCCATCTGCGTAATATTGTGAGAGCAACGTCGATATGGACACTAGCATAGTGAGTCTAGTAGTGTAGTATTATTGTGGTCAGTGTTTTTTTCAATATTGTATCGTCAATATAAATGTGAGTAGTGGTGCCGGTGCTATGCCACGCACATACACACGATATGATAGAAAAATAAAACTAGAGCACGTTATTTATACGTGTGTATTGTCCAATCATTCCGCAAATTTATCATTTACGGAAGGCATTCAGGTGGTGGCATATTACCGACTTTTAGTCGATATCTAATAAGCTATATAGAGAGCCTAGCAAATATTACTTAACGGTAAATAATTAACTAATACCTTTGGAGGCTACAATAACCATAGTTCATAGGAGGGTTTATTTTGTCGTAGAATTGGAAACACCTCGGCAGCGCGTAGTTACCTAGTACCTTATCACACAGTTTAGAAAATGCGCTATATAGTCGATGCGATATACATATATACATAGTGAGAATCTTAGTTGTGTGGTCTTTTGGATTAGTATCGAATTATGAAATTTCATGGATGCCTTGATCTCTCTGTCATTCTGTTTCTCTCTTTCTTTCTCTCTTTCTCTTTTCTCTCTCTCTCTCTCTCTCTCTCTCTCTCTCTCTCACTAATTTTCTCTCATACTCTCTATTTAACCTAGAAAGCTTTTAATCCTATTTCTTATATTTTTTTTCTCTTTTTACGTTCTCTTTTATCGTTTGGACCTAGTCATCCCGTTACACTTAAATCCCGACGAATTTCTGCAACGCTTCGCTTCATACTTAACTTATCTCCGTGTACATATTCTTAAATGTTTACGCCTACCTTCGCCTGCTCGAAGAAAAATATTGGTCTTGCGACATATAAAACTTCGCGGAAATAATTGACATGTGGAAACTTTACTTCTGACACGTAGCTTATTTCGTAAGTTTTCGAACGATCAATATCTTTCTTCGTACGTAGTTGCAGAAATTTTGATGGAGACTTGAAATCGTTGCACTAACGAACATGCAATATAAATAAAGGGGAAAAATCGAAAAGAAAAAAAAATTGATAAAACTAAGTAAACAAATATTCAGAAATATATATTAGTCTATGTCGAAACTACATTTTAATCGAGTTTGTTTTTCCTTATAGATTTTATGTGGTCTCTGGGAGCATTACCTGATGGTGAGTATGTGAAATATGTACTGACTAGTAAAGAACTCGATACCTACTTTGACGATCCCTATTATAGACATAACTAAAGAAATAATGATGCTATACCATATAGCTTCACAGCCTTGATACATAATTGTCCATTTCACCTATTTGCTTTAACATACGTTTTACCAGGGAATGGAAAATTATTTTTTTAAAGTAACAAGTTACTCATTACCGAGTAGAAAAAGTAACGAGTTATCGTTACTTGAGAAAGTAACTTTTCGTTACTTTTCCGTTACTTTTTTAAAATCGACGATCATTAATTACAACGGACGGATGCCTAGGGGCTTTCTAGTCTCAAGCGCTATGAGTGGCTTGTGTCCAATCAAACCGTGCCCAATTGTGTGTAAAGTAACAATAAAAGTAACTGTAAAATTCATTACCGTTACAAAAAAAATGTAACTACGTTATCGTTACAGCTATCAAAAAAAAGTAACACAGTTACCAGTAAAGTTACAAAAACTTAGTAGTAACTTGTAACTGTAACTTCGTTACAAGTAACGAGTTACTTCTATTCTCTGCATTTTACCTGTAGCATATCTTTCAGTGGACTGATGTGAATCGTATGTAAATATTAGAATTTAGCGGATTAACTACTAACCTCTCATTAGCTTTTATATTAATGGAAATTTAATCTAATAAGCAGAATATAGATATGGCTATAATTCTGACGGATACAACTTAATAAGTTTACCTATAGCTTTATAAAGCGACAGGACCAAATCAGCAAAATCAAATCGGACCTATCAGAATATTTAATACTTATTTTGTACTAAATTATATTTTAATCGAGGTTGGGCCACTTGTAACGAAGAGTATAACGGAAATTTTCGTTGTGTTCGCAGGTTTCCCAGCGGCAGCGTACGCGGCATACGCGGCGGGCCGCGGCTATTCTGGGTACCCTAGTTTCGGATTACCCTACCCGACAGGTAACCACCTTAGCCTTAACCACCTTAACCACCACAATGCGGCCCACATCGCGCCCCTGAACTTGAACTTGAACCTCATACAGGCGCAACCCGCGCCCCATCATAACCCGCCCACTCCGACACCGCTATTTTACCATCCCAATCTGGACCTCTACAACGCCATGCCTCTGTGAACTAACTCACTGATTAACGATACCGATAACGAGCTGTGCGCGCACTCTAACGCTAGCATCGCTACACGCTAACTGACTTGCTGTCGCTTGATCCATCCGATTCCATCGCGGCGAGAGAGCGTGTTGCGACGCGAAAATCAACGAGAGATAGCTCCCATGTTCCCGAGGGTAATTCGGGCGATTTGAAAGCAAAGACACGCGTGCAATACTCGAAGATTCCTGAGGATCCTCCGCAGAGACGTACACTAAACTTTCGTGAGGGACAAAGCGACTCTCCGTTCCGGGATCACGAATTCTCGAACTGGACGACGCCCAGAACGCGAGCAGGTTCCGCCGAACGCGCGTTGCTATTTGCACGAAAAATAGCAGGACTGGACGATGAGAGATTCTTTAAAGCACGAATTCTCTTTAAAACGGGGAGAGTTTAGTTCTGATTTCACAAAGTTTTTGCAACTCTCAATAGCGAGCGAGAGACACGATAGAATAGACGAAAAGAAAACGGGGAAAATGTTAAACCATGAGAAACTTCGCCTAGTTACAGGATATTCGGAGATAAATTATTAATATCTAGCAGAGAGAGAGTGTCAGCTCGGCCGACACGACGGCTGGCTCGGCTGCGATATCGACTCGCGATATCTTCTCTTTGAAAAAGTTTGTACATTATTGAAGTACTTATTCGATATCTGTCGCAGTGTTGGTTTCGCATATTTTTTTTATAACGAGAACACTATCAAACAGCAGTCTGCGATGAGAATCATACAAATTGATAAATAATTACTATATCAAAGTTACTTCATCGTTTTAAGGCATCGTTTAAAGACATTAAGAAAAGATTTGTTAGCCTCGATATACGAATAACATCTCGTTTCATATTCTCTTATATTCTCTTTATATTTCTATATTCATCTTTGTATCAATTAGCAGGATATTCGACAGTTTTTATGACGATCATTTTATTATACAATAAATTATTTTTCTACTATATTTTAAAATAATATTTTTTTAAAGAAACAATGGATTCCAAAGGATATAAATAATCTATTCTCTTTCTCGTTCTGCGGTAGACAATAAATCATCGAGTGTTTGCGAAAAAGTGTGTTGTGCTACCCGTGAATTCGGAATTTATTGAGCTGTTATAGCTACGGTGCACTATTGATTCTCTCTTGTGCTGTGGGTATCATTTTTAAAGAATTCAAAATCTCAAAATATTGATATGTATATATGAATGAGAATATGTAGGTATATAGGGAAAAAAAATGTGCATAGATTACACCGGGTGCAAAATGCCTCGTGAAAGTATTCGAACGATTTTATTCGATTTAATATAGGCGTATTACCGTTTGAATACTTTGGTAAGCCACTATATGTGAAATCAATCATTCCTTTCAATAACGAATATATCCCAATAGCAATAAAAGCAAATATCCAATCAATGTCCGAATTCATCAGTAAATACCACTAAATATTGAAATAGCCGATAAAAGTTATCAGAGATACTTTTACTTTTATAGCGTTTATTAGCCAAAATTGTATAGGGAGAGCATACAGTAAAACCAATATTATATATATTTTGTAAATACATATCGATATTTTGAAAATCGATGTCATCAAAATTGAGTTTAAACTGTTCAAAGCTGTTTGGCGCGGTCAACGGATCGTGAAATCGATCGCGATATAAAATGTGTGGAGCGGAGTAAAATGTCATTGTTGATATCTGGTAAGGGTAACAAGTACGTATCGATTGACAATGATACGCGAGGGACCGCATCGCGGTCCACTTTAATATATACATACACAACACATGTAAATATACACACATATACACACATACACGCATTCAGCTATTGACATACACATGACTGCAACGACTAATAGAGTACCTACATACGTAAAATGTACGTCCATCTTTCGACATCGATTTGTTGAAATCGAAGTGGATGATAGTTCATGAGCGAACCTCTCGAGTCTTCTTCATAACGCATTTGCGAAATGAAAATCACAAATTGCATTTAATTACGTTTGAGGAAAATGCATCTCTTTTCTATCACAATTCGATATGACGATTGCCTATCCTAAAGCTCGATGAAAACAATTAAAGGATAGTAAATCGTTAGTTTGCACTCCCGTGAATTATCATCTCTTATCCGTCTATTTCGATTTGTTTCTCTGTAAACTTTCCGTTTAACAATATTAAATTGTTATCTGTATTTTTACTGATATTTATTTGTTATTACGTCATAAATTTTGTTATTTGATTTTGTTATATAAAATTTGAAACGAGGCAGCAGTTCAAATATATTGAATGTAATAAATATGAGTTTAATAATATTGAAACTTCACTACGCAGTCAAACCGAAGAGTTAAAATGAAAACCAGATAAAACCATATAAAAAACCATAACATTTTAAAAATTAAAATAAAAATCAGCATAAAACCTTGTAAAAAAAAAACCATGACGTTTTCATCGATATCTTCAACAAAACATATTCTATTTTCTATTCTTTTCAAGTTTGTAATAAAAAATATTATTTATACAAAAGAATTATTTCTTTTGTAAAAGAATCCTCAGTTTTATTAACAATTGCATCTTAAGCTAATTTTCAATGGATTTATTATTAATTAAAATGTCATCATTCTCCTCTTTCAAAGCTTTCTATATAGATACCATTTTTAACGGTCTCCTTTTTTGCGCGATTTGTCTGCTCTTCTAATATAAACTATTATATAAGACTTACTTATATAACTATAATGCTTTTAAGATATTTCCTCACTTTTCTTAATATGTATTATTGCATACTTTATCACGTGTGTTACGTTTGCTTGCTTTCGTTATTTTTCATCTAGTAAATGTGCGCACATTTTGTTCCACGTGTTCCGCGAAAGGCGATTGCGATCGAAACTCTGCACCCTTCCCTCCCACGTAATTTTAACCCTTCCACACGGCTTGCTGTTCCTCCATGTCAAGCATGTAAAGCAGTAATGACGCGTCACGTCGTTAACGTCGGACAAACTGCGATTGGTGCCCCGTCGCGATCGAAATTAATTAGCGAAATTAATTGAAGATAGTGTCATCCAACAATATCGCTTCAGATTCGCTTCAGAAAATGTTTAAAAAAGGAAATACGGTTCCTATTGTCTTAAGAAATTGAGATCTATGTATATTCTTGGAACAATATATGGGTGGGAAGAGAATTCATAAATAATGTATACCTAATGTTTTTCGGACGTTGGTCCATCCCTCAAAAAGCCTGTCCTCCCCCATTTCTCCTACTATTTCCTTTTTCGATCCGATCCTCGCTTTCCTCCAGGGATGTGCTCGATACACTCAGAATCGTTTCCAATTTTCCTCGAAACCCGCTACTTAACGCATTTGAATAACTTTTCGGGATCACCCCCGCGGCTACCTTTCCATCCTCTTCGCTCGTTTCCGATCTCCTAGTCTAGTTTGTGTGTCTTATTGCGTACAGTTCACGAGGCATGGTAGTAGAAGGAAAACTGGATATCATCCACAATGATTGATCGCCGTAAAGAATTCTTCGTCACCCCCGTTCCTCAATCCGACTCCTTCAATGTATTTCCAATGTCCGAAAAACATTCGTCGGTTAAGCTACCCTCTTCGCAAATATGGAAACGCGGGGCGATCTTCCGTGTGAGGTAGGAACGTGGGTTAAGAAAGATATTTCTAGGAAACGGGGCGGCGACGGGATACATTCGTGGAGAACTTCTTCAGGGAAGATCTTAAACTCGAATGTGTGTGTGTGCGCGCGCGCGCACGCGCGTGTGTGTATTCCTGAACTGCAAATATTCCGCTGCTTCAAGAGAAGTCAAACGACGACCGTGATTTAACGATCGTCGCTAGACGTTCACCTTCATATTACGAAAGCGCTAAACGAGATCGTTTCACGATGCAAACTGCATTTGTGAATCATTTCATATATTTCGTATATTGACAAATAAAGACAAATCTTTCTCGATAACTTATGAATGAAGGGGCAAGCATGCGAAAGATGTTTTTATGCAAAATCGCATCATTCTCACAAAACACAAAATCATTATTTCCTATTATGTCATATCAGTCATATGAGACGTCAAATCTCTTAACTTTACAAAATCTTAAGAGAAAATTATACTTACTTTTTTTTATATTTATTGTTATAAACTATCTCTTTTTGTTAATGACTTAGTTTATGTTAATGGAAAAACAAAATGTTTTTATATTTTATATGTATCTTGGATTATTATATTGAATTTTATATTTGACTCTTACATGCCTTTTTTAATTTCGATTGTTTTGTACATTAAGAGTTCTTTGTCCTCGTTTAATATAAAATGTTTTTATTTTAATGCTTTCCAAACTTAGCTATTATAACTTATGCTTTACGAAAAATATACGCTTGAAATATATTATATTTAAATATGAGTACATCAGAAGGATACGTTGAATGAATGAATAGTGTATCAATGCTTAATGCTTATATGTACATGATATTATGTGACATTGTTGTAATGATGATAACTGAATTCCGAATGTGGTAATACCAAAATTACCAGCATAAATTGTCACAAATCCGATCCTCTCATCTGCCTCTTCGATTCATGTTTTCCGATTCAAGATGGATGAGATGTTTAGTGCGTCAGCATAACATTATACAGCAAATTCGCTCTATTAGTTACATTGCAAGTTTCAGTAGAGCGACGTGGTCTATTTGTTAAATATTGACGTGAAATCAGTGAGTTTCAATTACATTTAAATCAACGAATATATTTTTATTCGCAAGTTAATCGATTAAAAGAAATTTACGTGAAATATTATGAATAAATGTAAAA